ATATACAAATATATATATATATATATATATATATATATATATATAATGATATACAAATATCAATTTAATGATATATAAATATATAATTAAAAATATATTATTTAACGTACCAAATATTTTTTTAAGAGATTCATCAATTTTTTCATAATTATTATTATAAATTTTAGGATTTTCCTTATTATTTATTTTGTTTTTATATCTTTCTGAGATTGGTAAACAATCTAACTGACTATAAGTTGGACTCAATAGCATTAACATTTCTTTGGCGGTTAATTTACTGACAATTATAATAAATAATGTAAATAAAATTATATATTATATGATAAATTACAGATAATGATGATAAAAATAAAATATATTAGATAAATAAAACCTAATTTGTCTATAATACATTAAAAAATTTAATCTTACCTTTTATTTTCAGGAATTGTTTCTCTGTATTTCTTCGCAAAAAAATTTAAAGGATCTGGAATACTTGTATCGCTTGATAAACATTGTTCCTTCTTCATTTTCAAACGTTCTTAATTCTAAAATGATAAAAAATAAATAGAAAAGAAAAAATGTTATTAATTATCAAATTTAATTACTATTGACAATTATTTATATATATATATTGAATTTGCAGTAAAACAATGTTGAATCGTCAAATTTTCGTTCAATTTAATATCAATCACATTTAATAAATATATACGGTGAATGATAAATTATAACATTGATAGTGATGATTATGATATATTAATCTTCTCAAGAATTATATCAAGAATATAAAAAATTCTTATGAAAAAAATTTAATTATTTTGGATTATTTTGCATTATATATTAATGCAAATGAAATAATATAAAATTAAAAAGATTTTTGTATTTTTTCACTTTTATCTTTTCCTTGATTGCATATTTCACAACATTTTATAAAATATAATATAACATATAAAATTTTTAATCTAATTTATAATATTTGTACTTTTTTTTGTATAAAATAATTTTAATTAAATTCTAATGTTCTCGAATGATATAATTCTATCTTTACACATTAATCTTCTCTATGGCTGCAATAAATTTCAAAACTGTAATTCTTAATATTGCTACTAGTTATTTGTAACGTGATCTTGTGATAAAACTGTCAATCCTGGCTGATGAATATTTATGTGACTTGATATCTTTCAGAAATTTCAAAGCGTACTTTGATTATTACCAGGAAAGTATAGTCGAAGATAAGAAAAATCTAATTAAATGTAACAGAAATTTCCAAGATAATGAGTTTTTATGCCTCATATTCGTAAAACAAATATACATACATAAAGGCATGGCATACATCACATGGGCATGGCATAAATATATCAAGTATCTTATCGAGATGCAAATCTTCCGATCTCGACTAATGTCTTCCTGCTATAAGATTCACGAATTATATGAGTCAGTTTGGATAACTTCACCTAACTTAGTAGGATAGATCTCGTTTGATCCCAAGAACAAAATGTCTATTGAAAATCCTAAAGAAAGTATAAATAAAAAGATCACAACTTGGCCACAACAGTTAACTGCATTTACACGTAAGTATTAAAACAAAAATAATAATAGAGTTATCAATTTAACAATAATGACAGTAAATATAATAGAATAACATATAAAAACAAATAATAAAAATTAATATAAATTTTGATTAACTGCATGTGTTATAATAATTATAGAAATAAAATATTTTAATAATTTTATAGTTTTTATAAATTTAATAATTTAATAATTCCATTAAACGATTATATATTATTGTCAAATCAAATAAATCACATTTTTTTAAAGTTCACAAAAGCAATGTTTGCTTAACATTCACATTAACTTGATCAAGACGTTCTAATACAATCTCTGGTATATATCAAAATGCGCCGTATTCCATACACAAGATGCCTGTAGAGCTATGTCTATGAATGAGCTAATGAAATTACTCTCGCATCCGTTGACACAACTGTTTCATGGCCGTTTGTGACAGTCTGCTTAGCTATTATCGGAAGTGGTCTCGCGAATGGTTGGGCATCACCATACTTGGCTCAACTGACATCAACGGAAGCGAACATGCCTTTGAGACTGACAGATACCGAAGCATCCTGGGTAGCATCCCTTTTAAATCTTGGTCGCTTCGTCGGGGCTTTGCTCAGTGCACTGTGTCAAGGTAAGGCCATTTCTTCATTGTCAGAAAGAAGATTCATTTGATCTATTAATTTTACCCTCTTCAGTCGCAAATCATGAAAGCATACTTGAACTTGAAGGATGTCTGTAATGTATTAGATCAAATTAGTAAATAAAATCTGTGTAATTTAAATTGTTCAATATATCAGAAATGTTCAATAATTTTCATAAATACATATATATGTATATATTCATAGTTGACCTGATCGATACTCTCTTGCAGCACACGATCAAGTAACCAAGCAAGGCAAACAATGGTGATCAACATTGTTAATCGAGAATTGAATAAGAACAAGGGAGCCACGACTCAGCACTTGTAGAAAAACATGATACGAAATTGTGGTACGTAGAAAAGCAAATGCAAACAAATAATTGTAATATCGATAGGAAATTATTATTGAAATACGTACATATATTCGAAATATATTAAAACATATTCCTAATTTTTGAAACAAAAATCCCGAGATAAAATGTATAAGAAATAAATTAAAAATTTCAGTGATCCACTAATTGTGGTGACTGAGTTGTGGTCATCTTGTTCTCAGGTAAATGTAATTTTAATTTGTCATAACATAATTTTCAGAATATATGGGACGAAAAATAGTGCTTCTATTTAGTGCACTACCAATGACAATCAGTTGGATATTCAGTATATGTGCTACATCGGTCATATGGCTTTACATCTCTAGATTCTGTTCAGGAATCGCATCAGGAATGATATGGTCTTCAATATCTCTATATCTAAGTGAAATTGCCAATCCCAAAATTCGTGGATCACTGGTAAATTCATATATCGTATAAAATAATGAGCATTCACTTCTGAGATTAAAATGAATAAAAAATATTTTCTTTTCTTTCTATTTTTGTCAAAAATTATTAGATAATCTTATTTCCTAAATTTTAATTAAATTAATTGAACTTCTTAAACGTAATATCAAAATCAATACTCTATAAAAATGAGAAATATTCACGTTTTAAAAATATGAATATATCATATATTGATATACACATACAATTTGATATATAGAATAATATAATAAAATAATAATAAAAATTATATAAATAATATTATAACTACTAGAAATAATATTGTACATACAAAATTTACTAACTATTATATTAAACATAGTATTTTTGATGATAAATCATAAAGTTTAAGAAGTCAAAAATTATTTCATAAACTGATATTTTAAGATACACTTCTTTTTAGTCATATGAATATTTCTATCTGATAAAATCATATCTGTGGTCACGTCTTTAGATATCCATGAACGTGAATGCGTCTTCCATTGGTATGTTCTTGGGCAATGCAATGGGTCCTTATCTGTCCATGGAGATGTTCGGGTACGTGAGCCTCGTTCCGAATATCCTCTTCATGATCCTCTTCAGTTTGATACCTGAATCGCCATACCATTACCTCTTGCACGGGGATATCGACAAGGCCGAGGCATCCTTGAAGTGGTTTAGGCGAGAAGCTGACGTCAAAGCCGAGATGCAAGATCTTCAAGAATTCGTCGACGGAGCTGAAACTAATATTTTCCTAAAGTTGAAGGAGTTCCTCACACCAAGTATCCATGATTCTCTTTTTACTTGAATGTTTTCATAAAAGTTAACAACAAAAGAATCCACCGTTTACAAAGAACAAGTTTAATTTGTTTCAGAAATTCCATGTTTTTCATTACTAACACTTCACTTCGATATATTTATTAAATATTTGAAATTGTTTCTTTGAAATTAATATCGTTAATATATATAATATCGTTATCTTGATCATATCTATTAAAAGTGATATTTTTGATACTTTAGTTTTCTCTTACAATTTTCTATAAACAAATTTTGAACTTTAAAAAATTTTATACTTCTATTCTCGTCATATTGAAAATTTAAAATATCGAAAAAACTAATAACTAATGACAAAATATATGATCAATCTCAAATTTTTTTCTATTTTATTTCAGGTAATTTAAAGAAACCTTTCATCATAATTGGTCTCTACTTATTCTCCTATGTAAGTGGATACAGTGCCGTGAATTCTTACACAGAAATAATTCTAACAAAAAGTAAAATTAGCATTACACCTAGTCTAATAGTGACAATTCTTGCATTGTCTACGATTTTTTCAGGTTTATTAGCTACATTATTAATTGATAAATTAGGTAGACGATATTTATTAATAATATCCAGTACAGGAACATCAGTATCCTTAGCACTTTTAGGATTACATTTCCATCTTCTTTCATTAGAATATGATTCTAAAAATTTGACATGGTTACCGATCATTTCTTTATTAATGTTTAATCTATTCATTTATTCTGGATTAATGCCAATTCCAAACACACTTTTAGGTGAAATGTTCAATGCAAAATTGAAAAACATAGCTTCATTATTCATAAGTTGTATGAATGCTTTATTATCTTTCGCAAGTACAAAAACTTACCAGCCTTTTCTAGATTTGGTTGATGATAAATTTGTGTATTGGACATATAGTATTTGCCTATCACTTTCAATACCATATATTTATTTTTTCATCCCAGAAACAAAAGGCCAAAGTCTTTTACAAATTCAACAACAGTCAATAAAAAAATAATAATACATTAAAAATTGTTAATTTTATAACTTATATTCTTTTATCTAATACTAATATTACCTATAAATATAAATAAATCAAAAATAAATAAAAATCAAAAAATTATATCTTGTACATAATTTGTACATATAAAATATACATTATATTATATTTATACAAATAAATATAAATTAGTATTTTATAAATTAGATTATAAAAAATTCATTCTTTTTTTTTATTATTTTTCATTTTATTCTTACATAATATATCTTCAAGAAATATGAAAAAGTTCTTTAAGATTAAATCTAAAAATTAATCTAAATTTATTATTAATATTATTTTACCTTTTTTGTGTAATGTAATAAAATTATATTTTTCTTAAAAGATATCACAAAAAATTACAAATAACTTTATACTATTACTCTTCTCTTAAAGAATCTATAGAATATTATAATTCAATACGCACTAAACACAGTTGAAGTTCCAACTATATTACAACTACAATTCGTTCGTTCGTTCCCTCTACGTTAGCTATTCATTACACTCTAAATAAAAAATCATATGAAATAGAGAAGGATATACAAAACGATGACAATAATATTGAACATGTTTTGAATGAAGGGGAAATAAAATTCTATGTTTTGGTATCTAATTTTATCTAGTTTAAATTATAAAGAATTTCCTGTGAAGAAGTTTCGTTGAAATACGCATATAAGGAAATATTTTACTTGCAAACATCAAATTTTGTATAAAGGGGAAATATGAAAAAACCGTTTAATAAATCGATTGATTATTATATACTACCAAATAAGATTTTCTGTAGTATAGCTGGAATGTGGCCTATCGATGAGAAAAGTTCAATATTCAGTAAAATATTTGCATATGTTCGTTTGATATTTGGATTAATAGTAGTTAGTAGTTTTTTCATACCTGAAATTATAATAATAGTAATGAATTGGAAAAATATAAAAATCATAGCAGGTAAATATTTAATAGAGTTAATAATTAATTAGATTTAAATTTCACATTTCTTCGAATAATTTTCTTTTAATAATAAAAATTAAATTTTTTCTCAAATTAGGGATAGGCTGTGTTTTAACAACAATTACACAAGTATTATTTAAAATGATATATCTAATAGTAAGAAGAGAAAAAACATATTCACTTTATTACAAAATACGAAGTCTGTGGAATTCTTCTAATGATTCTAAAGAAAGACCTTACGAAGAATTCGCTTATTGGGCACGAATTTTTTCAATAATTTTTTATTCATCTTGCATGTGCAATGTATTCACATTCTCTATTGCTGCGGCTATTGATTATTTTAAATTCGAATATAATGCCAATAACACTGAAAATAATCGACATTTACCTTTTATTGTTTGGTACAAATCATTCTTTTCCATTAAAATATTTGTCTTTCTTATTTATTGAATAAAAAGACTTATTAAACTGAAATATTTAATTTATTATAATTATAAAATGTTATATAAATATTATTTCATATGGATATTAAAACATTTTAAGTAATTGTCCTATTTAATTTATAATATCTTAATATTGTCATTAGGTATGGAACAGACATTTCCACATCTCCAAGCTTCGAAATTGCATTTTTTTATCAAATTATATCATCTTCAATTTGTGCTGCTGTCATTTCTGGCTTGGATACTTCGCTTATGACTATTATATTACATGTATCTGGACAATTTAAATTGATCAATATTTGGATCAATAATATTGGAATTGAAATAAATTGTAATCCTAATTACATGCAAAAATTAAAAGTAGATCTAATCAAATGTATTCGTCATCATCAACAAATAATACAGTAAATATTTTTTCCAATTTCAATTTTGTTTTTTATTTTTTTTTATTTTTTTTTTTTTATATATATATTTATATTATTAAATATATAATATAATACAATTAAATTATAACAGTTTCTTTTAATTTTTATTTTTAATAATGATATTAATTTTATACAGTGTAGTAAATAAAATGAATAATTTATTTACTCCTATCATTTTCATTCAACTTCTTACGAGCGGAATTGAAATTTGTTTAAGTGGATATGCAATACTCGATAATGATTCAGCAAATGCTGATCTACTGAAATTTATATCTTATTTCATTTCCATGGGAAT